CAGCACCTGTTTGGAACCCGCACTTGATAAAGCACGTCAAGAAACTAGAGAAAGTACAAAGGTTTGCAACAAGGTTAGTTCCAGAGCTAAGGGGAATGTCCTATGAAGAAAGATTAAGGGAAATCGGCCTGACGACACTGGAGGACAGGAGGGTCAGGGGAGACATGATAACGACATATAAAATACTGCGTGGAATAGACAAGGTGGACAAGGACAGGATGTTCCAGGGAGGGGACACAGAAACAAGAGGCCACAATTGGAAGTTGAAGACACAAATGAGTCAGAGAGATAGTAGGAAGTATTTCTTCAGTCATAGAGTTGTAAGGCAGTGGAATAGCCTAGAAAATGACGTAGTGGAGGCAGAAACCATACACAGTTTTAAGACGAGGTTTGATAAAGCTCATGGAGCGGGGAGAGAGAGGGCCTAGTAGCAACCGGTGAAGAGGCGGGGCCAGGAGCTAGGACTCGACCCCTGCAACCACAAATAGGTGAGTACACAACACACAACACACACACACAACACACACAATACACATACACAACACACACACATACACACACACACACAACACACATACAACACACACACACACAACACACACACACACACACACACACACACACACACACACACACACACACACACACACACACACACACACACACCTTTCAGTGTGATTTAAAGTTTTTTAAAGATATTGAAGTTCTATTACTGGGTAACACCAACACATTTTTGTGAGATATTATTTTCTTTGGACAAAAGTGTTACAAAATGAGTTTATGGTTGAAAAGGTTATATATTTACTATATTTTGGGAATTTCGAATTCAGAAAATGTCCCGCGTACGTTATATCAATAAATTATGATCTGGGAGAAGCAATGAAAAAAAGAACTTATCCAGAGTCAAAGGAATAATTTATCTGACCATATATCAAAAATCAACATGTCAGCAGTTCAATACTTGTGTAATATGTATATGATATTTACCATTACAGGCAGGCTCCCTGCTCCAAATCTTAGTCACGTGAACCCCGTTTGTATCACAGACATAGGCTATGACTTATACGCCTCTACCTCACTCTCGACCAAGCCCAGAGTGCAGGCAGACATGGATAGGCTGGACTCACCACGAGTACCAAAATAACGTCTCTACAACAGCTCATCTATTATATTCTTGCTACCATCACTTCTTAAACACGAACTCTGATAAACACGTGTGTTCATCAGAGTTAAATAAGCCGTTTTCTCGTCTATGTTTCCTCCAAACATTACACGACTGCGGTACCAAGGTTCCCAGTATATTAGTGGATACTGTTCAAAATCTACATCTAGTCTGTACTTCAATATCCTCTGCTGGCTGGTCAACTTGACAAGAGCTCACCTTCTGCTTGACATTGTCGCTCAGGTGTTGGATATGAGACTTGGTGCGGTGCTCCAGATTGGTGATCTTAGCGTCGAGTTTGTCGTGGGCAGCGTCGATGTGGTCCATGAGGGCCACCTTGTCCTTCTCCAGCTTATCCTCTACATTCTTGAAGAAGGGGGCGCAGTAGCAAGTGTAGCCCACTCCCACGGGACCCTTAAGTAAAAAAAAATTAACTTAATAAAGCCGCATTGATCATTCAACACAAGAAGTGGTGAAGGCTTGATACTTCGTTCAGTAATAGCAAAGCAAGTACCACCTAACGTGCTCATCTAATTCCAGTAATGGCGGATGCCACAATGCATTAGTCAGACCATCCTTTTTTTTTAATTTAGCACAATTGGATACATCAGCAATATTCTGCTACCCTATTCTATATAGCTACATAATGAGTGCGACAGCTGGAAGTTTCCCTCTTATATTCCATCACACAGGCAAAGGTATACAGAGAAGGATGTCGGAAGATCGTTCTGCATTCGGTTCCAAACTGTTGTTTAACTGAGAATTCTAGGGAAGCTTACTTTTTTTATGTTGCCGGCGAGGTCGATGAAGTATTGCTCGCCCTTGGAGAGCGGGTCCTTGGGAAGGGAGTCGATGTTGGGGGTAGTGAGCTCCTGGACGTTGGTTGGTGGGTAGTACTGACAACCGTAGGGTGACCACTGTACTTGCTTCCCTCGTCTCTTCTCCTTGTGTTCAGACTTGTGCTACGGGAATCACATTCTCTATTATAGTGAAGCTTAGAGGGTATGTTGGTAGTATGTTGTATGTGGGAGTATATGTATGAGAGTGGGTGTTGATGCTGTTATATGTGGGAGTGTACGAGGGTAGGTGTTGCTATGCTGTGTGTGGAGGTGTATGAAGCTGAGTGTTGGTGGATTCAGGAGTTTAGACATTATAACTGAAGGTGACATGTACAATGATATTGCTAAATTTATTTTTATTTCACCAGAATTTGAAACTACTACTACCACTACTACTAATACTACTACAACTACCACTAGTACTACTAGTACTACTATTACTACTATTTCTACTACTACTTCTACTACTACTACTACCGTCTGGTCAGAAATAAATGCAACACACAGACCCTTACTTTCTTCTTCTCTTTGGCTCTGGTGCTGCTGTCCTTACTCGAGGTTCCACTGTCGTTAGTCTTCCCTCTCTTCTTGTCTCCTTTTCCCGTCCCCTTTCCCGATGCGCCCTTGTTCTTGGCCTCCTTCGCTTCCTTCTTCTTCTGCTCCTGTTCTCTGCGGAGTCGCTCCTCAGGAGAGACCACGGGTGGCGGATTCCTGAGGATCTCCAGGATCTGGCCGAACTCCTTGCGCCTGGCGATGTCTCCAGGCGCCTCATTTTGCTATCACCAAACATTGTTATTAATGTCTCTATTCTAGTTGTTATTAACGTGCTACTGATAATTATATAACTTTGCTGTTTAATGAATTTTAATATCATTGTTAATAATAATAATAATAATAATAATAATAATAATAATAATGTCATTAAAATTATTATTCTATTTAAGAAATCTACATTTCAGACTTAAGGGGTGGAAGGAATGGAATGATGATGGATGGGAGATAATGATGGAGATGGAAGGACAGGAGAACTGAAGATAGAGGTGAGGATGGAAGAAGAAACAGCAGTGATGATGGAAGGATGCTGGAGGTGACTCTCCCTACCCTGTTCTTAATGTGTTTGTCAACACCAGACTCTCCCTACCTTGTTCTTAATGTGCTAGTCGGCACCAGACTCTCCCTACCTTGTTCTTAATGTGCTAGTCGGCACCAGACTTCCCCTACCTTGTTTTTTAATGTGCTGGTCGGCACCAGACTCTCCCTACCTTGTTCTTTAATGTGCTGGTCGGCACCAGACTCTCCCTACTTGTTTAATGTGTGGTCGCACCAGTCTCTCCCTACCTTGTCTAATGTGCAGTCGGCACCAGACTCTCCCCACCTTGTTCTTAAATTGCTAGTCGCACCAACTCTCCCTACCTTGTTCTTAATTGCTGGTCGTCACCAGACTCTCCCTACCTTGTTCTTAATGTGCTATCGGCACCAGACTCTCCCTACCTTGTTCTTAATGTGCTGGGCGGCACCAGACTCTCCCTACCTTGTTCTTAATGTGCTGGGTCGGCAAACATTCAGCAGTATCTGGTGAGCTTCCTCCTGCCATGGCGGCAGCAATATGCAGGGGCGTGTCTCCATTCTGACAACAACAACACAACTTTAGTCTCACTCAACATAATTATAAACATTTATTGTTTAACAATATATCACACAGTGAGGTGTTCTGGGAAAGACAAGTTACTAAGACGTAAATATGAGGAACACCCTGAATCAAATGTCGAGAGAGAAGGAGTGAGAGTGAGCTTAAAACCGTGATAAATGAGAATAGAGAGAAAAGGAGGAGAGGAAGTAGAGAGAGAGAGAGAGAGAGAGAAGAGAGTTATCCTGACCTTGTTCATCTCGCGAGTGTATCCTGGCAGAGAGTAGTATGCGGGTGACACCACGTGGCCATAGCGTGACGGTGGTAGGGGAGTGTCACCATACTGTCAGACAAGGAGGGTAAATAATAACCACGTTTAGTCACAATCTTGGCTCTCTTCTATACACACACGCTTAACCAGATCATTTTTTTTCCTCCGAAAGTTACTTCCTTCTTCCCTTTCTTGTTCCCTCCATCCTTCTCTTCTGCTTTCATTATACATCGCATCAACTAACACTAACGTGATCTACTGCCTTCCCTCCATCACAACTAAAAACCAAATAATTAATTTTATCCCTTACTCCAGGTGAGGAGCAAGTAGCGGGTGTAACTCACGTTGTTCTTGATGTCAGGTTGCAGCCTGCCAGGAGGGGGGACCCTGCAGGTCTGGTTGTGACCGTTCTGGCAGGCCAGGTGGAGTGGGGGCAAACCCTCCCTTGTTCTTGATGTAGACGTTAGCCTTGGCCCTGACCAGCGCCTCGGCAGTGTGACTGTAGCCCTTCCAGGCTGCCTCGTGCAGTGCAGTGTTCCCGTGCTGAGGACACACATGTATATAAGAATGATGCACATACAGTAGGGTAACATAAATAACACATACAGTTGCATGAACACAGTTGTATAGAGACTGTTTTCAGTTATAAGAAAAAAGTAATATTGCTATAAAGTTACATACAGAGAGTAAATTCTGTGCATCCTATGGTTTTATTTTTCAAAAATCATAACCAAGTATAATGTTTTGAAAATATATGATTTGAATTTGGGTACAGAATTAACTTATTATTAAATAAAATAATTACCATTATTTTAACTACCCACAATTAGTAATGTAAGTTTATTTAGACACGTAAGTACAAGTATCAAAGATAGTGTAAATGACCAAGGATAACCCAAAAAAAAGTCAAAGTGACTTATTTCCATAAAAAGCACAAAACACATATATGTTTTGTGACTGTTGATGTTAATAAAATAAGAGAATTTAGCGGCTACAAACCTGGTCATCCTGATGGTCGACGTTAGCGTTGTGTTTAATGAGCTGACGGACAATTTCGATGTGACCCTCGCAGGCGGCCCGCTGCAGCGCAGTATACCCACACTGCAAACAAAGAAAACGTGTTAGGTAATGTAGTAAGAAAACCAACATGCATAAACCCTAGTGGGGGGTCTCGTTTAATTTAAATACACAGCAGGAGACAACAGTTCGATGCATGATTATCACCGTGGCACACACCATTAATTTATTTTACCGTTTTTGTGCACAAAAATATGTCAGTTTTAATTAGGAGTCATAAAGGTGGGGGTATAACCCCACACACGTAGTTTGATTGTAAGTTATCGTGTACAATTTGTGATCTCAACGGGTTGTAGAGTCATATAACTACATGTCTGTCTGTCACTGCACGATCCCACGATCCCCGTATCCCTAAACTCACCCCCCTCTGCCTCAGCCCACACAAGAAACAACTGAGACTACACACTCTCAAGTGCAATATAAGCTGAAGTTCAACTCCCTAAAAAAGAAGCTATGGATTAACCCTCCCAAAATAATAATAATAATCTATACTTCTACAAGTGCACGTAGAACATATATAGTCCTTGCTGACATCAATGACATACTAATAAAAAGTCCCTTGTTATGCAGAGCATTTCAGGTAAATTAGGTTAATATTGTCCCCAGGATGCGACCCACACTAGTCGACTAACACCCAGGTACCTACTTACTGCTAGGCGAACAGGGACGGCAGGTGTCTTAAGGAAACACGCCTTGGAGATCAATACCTTGAAAGCCCCTCAACAAATCTACCTTGATGCTGGTGATAGGCTCATGATCCAAGGACTTATCTTCCCTGTCTCCGGTACGGCTGGAAAACACTAGGGACGTGTTTCCGTAAGACATCTGCTGCCCCTGTTCACCCATCGGTCTAAAATGGGTACCTGGGTGTTAGTCGACTGGTGTGGGTCGCATCCTGGGACAATAATCTAATTTGCCCGAAATGCTCAGCATAATGTCATTGATGTCAGCTAGGACTGTATACCTTGTACATGTACTTGTAGTAAATAAAGATATTATTATTATTATTATTATTATTATTATTATTATTATTATTTCCTTAGATCAAATCTGACTCCTATTTCTCCAGACACTGTACGACCCCTACGGGTTTAGTTCTGGCAAGCACCTCAATGATTATAAAAAAAACAGTTGGGTAAAGTCAAGGCCACAGTAACAATACACAACGCAGCAGTAGACCACAAGAAGCACAGAGACCAGGATCACCTGTCAGCAAACAAAATGAGATGCATGTTGCCTCGGTGTATATAAAATCGCTTCATACCAACGATTCGTCAGGAACGAGAGCTCAACGAGGAGTGTTCAACGAAGGTTGATAAATATGACACATGTGCAACACTCATGTGTCACGATAACATGACACATGCATGTAGCTTGTTGCTACTCCTCTGTAGCTGAACCAAGCCTACCACTTTCCAAGGACACTGATGTAAGTGGCCCGTGCAGTCTTGATAGAGCAATCGTCTCAGCAGGAGCTGTGACTCGACCCCTCCAACCTCTCTGAGCGTCACAATGCTTCATGGTAATACCTGTGTTATGGTTCTCTAAGCGTCACACTACTTCAGAGAAACACCTGCATTACGCCTCTAAGCGTCACACTGCTTAAGAGAAACACTTGCATTACGCCTCTCTAAGCGTCACACTGCTTCAGGATAATCCTTGAGACCGTTACTCCGCTAGCGTAACACAGATTACGGTGGCAGTAACCTACCTGGAGCGTGTCGACCTGGCCATCACAAATAGAGGAAGTGTAAAGACTTATAAAGTTCGCTGACTTTGCTGATAGCTTCTTTAACCGTGAAGGGGCTGACGTTCTCGGCTTTATACACTCCCCCCTTGCCCTTGCTGGTGGGGGAAGTCACAGGTCACGTGAAAAAAAGGCAGGAAATTTAGCAGGAGTGATAGAGGGGGGGGGGAGGGATGTAACCAATGCCCACCAAACTCAATAACTTCCAGCATGACCTCTGACAACCCCTCACGCCTTCTCACGTTCACTCACGACCCCTCACGTTCGCTCACGACCCCTCACATTCCTTTACATTCCCTCACGTTCCCTTACGTTCATGCTGCGAGTGATATCAATTAGTTTTGTTGTGCACGTGCGAGTGTGTGTGTACTCACCTAATTGTGGTTGCAGGGGTCGATTCATAGCTCCTGGCCCCGCCTCTTGTGTGTGTGTGTGTGTATGTGTGTGATGGTATTGTCTTAGTGTTCCAGCAGTAACCAAATTATTCGGAGCACGTCTTGCCGCCGGGAGGTAGAGAGCAGCAGAGTAGCAGAGTAGCAAGAGTTCACTCACTCGCCCTCACAACAACGTTCACTCAATACTCGTGTATTGAATACAACACTGGTCGTGGTGGCCAGCTTGTTCCTGCTTTCCATAGCTGTCTTTATCAGGTTAAACACTCCAAAAACTCTAATTATTGTTGAAAAAACAGGATCATACTGTGCGAGTCCTTCGCCCACAGTATTATACTGTGGGAGTCCTCACTCTCTCTAGGCTGGAATACTGCTGTACATTAACATCTCCATTCAAAGCAGGTGAAATCGCAGATCTAGAGTGTACAGAGATCCTTTACTGCACGTATAAGTTCTGTCAAGCACCTTAACTACTGGGAACGCTTGGAAGCACTTGACTTGTACTCGTTGGAACGCAGGAGGGAGAGATATATCATAATCTACACTTGGAAAATCTTGGAAGGAATGGTCCCAAATCTGCACACAGAAATCACTCCCTACGAAAGTAAAAGACTGGGCAGGCGATGCAAAATGCCCCCAATAAAAAGTAGGGGCGCCATTGGTACACTAAGAGAAAACACCATAAGTGTCCGGGGCCCAAAACTGTTCAACAGCCTCCCATCAAGCATTAGGGGAATTGCCAATAAACCCCTGGCTGCCTTCAAGAGAGAGCTGGACAGATACCTAAAGTCAGTGCCGGATCAGCCGGGCTGTGGCTCGTACGTTGGACTGCGTGCGGCCAGCAGTAACAGCCTAGTTGATCAGGCCCTGATCCATCGAGAGGCCTGGTCATGGACCGGGCCGCGGGGGCGTTGATCCCCGGAATAACCTCCAGGTAACCCACAGTATCATACTGTGGGAGTCCTCACCCACAGTATCATACTGTGGGTGTCCTCACCCACAGTATCATACTGTGGGAGTCCTCGCCCACAGTATCATACCGTGGGAGTCCACCACCCACAGCATTATACTGTGGGAGTCCAACACCCACAGCATTATACTGTGGGAGTCCAACACCCACAGCATCATACTGTGGGAGTCCTCACCCACAGTATCATACTGTGGGAGTCCACCACCCACAGCATTATACTGTGGGAGTCCACCCACAGTATTATACTGTGGGAGTCCAACACCCACAGCATCATACTGTGGGAGTCCTCACCCACAGTATTATACTGTGGGAGTCCTCACCCACAGTATCATACTGTGGGAGTCCTCACCCACAGCATCATACTGTGGGAGTCCTCACCCACAGTACCACGCCTGGGGGGTTCCTCTCCCATTTAAACAAAATATCCAGGTCGTTAACGCATGGGTAGTGAATCCTAATGGAAATTCGCTCATTCATAACGTTGGTTAGAATACGCATAAAGCGTACAGGGACAGCCTGCTAGGTCTGCATTCCCGATAATGAATTAATTCGGTTTAACAGTACATCGCTACTCCCCACCCCTCTTGTGAAGTCAGTGTGCGCGGGTGGAAGATCGAGGGGATGGGGTGACACAAGAGGGGGCCAGGGTGGGAGTACGGGTGGGGAAGGGAATGTGGGCGGCGGGGTTAAGGTGTGGGTGGCGGTTAGGTTAAGATGTGGGCGGCGTCACCATTCACAAAAGATATACCAAGCATGCATAACAACGTATGACCTGGAGAGTGTACGCCAAGGATATAGCATACACATGACACTGTGTGGAGTATATATAAGCAGTATGCTGCAAGCATACACACGAGTGTATAACCCGAGGAGAGTATACACGAGTAGAGGTGCGGCCGGAGCCACATGTTAAGAGGTGTTCGGAGAACAGAAGTCATGTTAGGTGTGTGAGCAACTTATGATGACCAGCAGGATGTTTTATGATACTATGAACGTCTGAAGCTAGGATAATGAGACGAAATTCTTAAGAAACTGGAGAAGCCAGTGCGCCTCTGTATAGTGGCATTGTAATTCAGGCTGAGAGTGAACGATCAGTGTTACTGAAATGTCTGAGAGTGAACGATCAGTGTTACTGAAACGTCTGAGAGTGAACGATCAGTGTTACTAAAACGTCTGAGAGTGAACGATCAGTGTTACTGAAACGTCTGAGAGTGAACGATCAGTGTTACTGAAACGTCTGAGAGTGAACGATCAGTGTTACTGAAACGTCTGAGAGTGAACGATCAGTGTTACTGAAACGTCTGAGAGTGAACGATCAGTGTTACTGAAACGTCTGAGAGTGAACGATCAGTGTTACTGAAACGTCTGAGAGTGAACGATCAGTGTTATTGAAATGTCTGAGAGTGAACGATCAGTGTTATTGAAATGTCTGAGAGTGAACGATCAGTGTTATTGAAATGTCTGAGAGTGAACGATCAGTGTTATTGAAACGTCTGAGAGTGAACGATCAGTGTTATTGAAATGTCTGAGAGTGAACGATCAGTGTTACTGAAACGTCTGAGAGTGAACGATCAGTGTTACTGAAACGTCTGAGAGTGAACGATCAGTGTTACTGAAACGTCTGAGAGTGAACGATCAGTGTTACTGAAACGTCTGAGAGTGAACGATCAGTGTTACTGAAACGTCTGAGAGTGAACGATCAGTGTTACTGAAACGTCTGCGAGTGAACGATCAGTGTTACTGAAACGTCTGAGAGTGAACGATCAGTGTTACTGAAATGTCTGAGAGTGAACGACCAGCGACGCAGTTCTATGTTTAAGAAATTCATAAAAACTTTGGCCACTTTCCACATTTAGAATCTGTCAGTCAATTGTTATTATTTATGCTAGTAAAATAATCAGAGGAGATAATGTGC